AGCACGTGCTTGACCTGGTGCGTCTTGAGCAGTTCATCCTGGGAAGTGAAATAGAGGGAGGCGAGGGTGTGCTTCCGTGGTGTCTGTTGAAGCTGTGCTGTCCTTTCCGAGGAAGACGCCCGCTCGGCAGGTTCAAGGGTGCACAGCCTCCTGCCTTTCTGGAGTGTTGGTCTCAGTCTGTACAGCAGAGAGTTCCTGCCTTAGAGACAGATGGCCAGCGTGCTGCTCCGGTGGAGCTGGTCAGGTAGAGGCTGATCATCCAACCAGGGAAACTGCATTTGCTCAGAATCTGTGACCCTACTGGGTTAATTTGAAGTTCTTACCTTGAATGCGTGCAACTGGGCTAGATCTCCCAGCTTGGCCATCCTCGAGGTGTTTGCAGGACGTCAGCCAGTGGAGTGGGCTGGTGTGGGTTCCGGACCAAGTTCTCAGCGTGCACCCGAGAAGCAGCGATGCTGGTGCCTCCGTTCGCAGGCTGTCCTTGCTCTGAGACCTCTCCTTTTCCATATATGTACACACACACACACATACACACACATTTTGTGGGTGTTGATATGCTGTGTTTCGTGAATGAAGTGTAGGGCTGAGGTGTGCCAAGGAGGAACCTGGGCTGAGGAGGGGGATCAGGCTGGGCCCTATGCTTCACTGATGCAGCTGAGACCAGGGTAGGGTCCTTGTGCTGGGGCATTATTTTCTCCATTCACGTTTTAATGGTTTTCGTCATAAAAAAGTTTCTAAGTACCTTCATTTTGTGTAACCATAGTGGCTGGAGATGGTGATTAAAGAAAAAAGAAGACTCCACTTTTAGCAAAGTAAAAGTTTGACAGTTTTTAAAAAAGAATTATTTTTATTTAACTTTATTTATTTTAAATTTGACCAGAGAGGGACAACGCGAGAGAAGGAAAGTGAGAAAGCAAGCCGCCATGTCTGGGACTCGAACTGTGGTCGGCCCTGTGGGAGTCCAGCGCCCTTAACCACCGTGCCACCTGCCGGCCCCAAGTTTGACAATTCTTAGCACTCACTTTTTTTCTCTCTTCTATTTTTTTTTTTAAATCCAAAAATTAGGGGTTATTATCTATCTTTTTTTTAAGAGAGAAAGATTTTTGTTGTGTGGGGGGTGCACTTGCCAGAGAGACAGAGAGAGAAAAATCTCCTCCTGTGGAGGATGGCCATGCTGCAATCCCTTCTCCATTCTCCTCTCAGGATTCTGGGCACGCATGCACACATGCCTGATGTGTTTTAGGCCACGGGACGGCTACATAGGAGTCCAACAACGTGACCTTCGTGCCGTCTGCTGGTCCCCTGTGTCTGTTACCTCTTACTCGTTGGATGTGAGGTTTAGGCTGGAGTGGAGCGGCCATGGTGGGAGTCTCTCCCTGGCCGTTTCAGGGGTAGTGCATTATAGAAAGCAGGGCCGGCTGCAGCAGCGACAGTAATACAGTGTTCCTTGTTGCTGAAGCCACCTGGGAAGGTCCCAGGTTCTCATCCCGAGGTCTTCCTGTACACAGAAGCTGAAGCTCAGAGTGGTAGCCTCTAGGCCTCTGCTGGGGGTGCCCAAAGAAGTAATAAATAAACTTAAAAAAAAGATACAGAGCAAAGGGCAATGTGATTGTTCCAGTCACTGACATTGAGATACTTTGTAGCTGGTTAGCTCTGCTACAGTTGCATCCCAGATCCTGCCACCTAAAAGGCCATCAGTTCCTGGTGGGTGGTCGCAGGTTTCTGCATGCACCTGAGGGAGGGCTGAAGACAGCGGAGAGTGGGCCCCTGTAATGATCGCCAGCTCACCCGCAGGTCTGGACGCCCGTTCAGGACACGCCTGGCCGCTTTGGCCTAGGAGCACTGGAATTGGGGGCTGTAGAATAGAACCTGCCAGGCCCGCCCTGGTCTCCCTCAGGAAAACAGGCCCCATGCGGCAGAGGGGAGCAGCAGGCCCGAGCTCCGACACCCCAGGGAAGCCTGCAGCAGGGTGCTGGTGCTTTCTTGCTGCTGAGGAGTGGCTGCTGGCAGCCAGTCAGGTGGAGAGTCGTAGGTAATACTCACTTGAAAAGTCTCCTTTAATTTCTCTTCTTTTTTAATTTTATTTTTTACTTTTTTTCTATCTCCTTATTTTTAAAATAACAATGATTTGTTTCATTTTTATTGATTATTATTATCTTTTAATTTGACCAGAGAGATGAGGGAGAGAGATAGAAAGTGAGAAAGCAAGCCACCAAGTCTGGGACTTGAACCGTGCTTGGCCATGTGACCGCCCAGCGCTTTAGCCCCTGCACCACCTGCTGGCCCCACACTTCTCGTTACAGAAGTTTGTTTAGAACGTGGGTGTCTGGCCCACGTGGGAGCAGAGATCTGTAACGGTAACCGTCAGCGGCTTAACGAAGGTGGTGGCAGAGCAGAGTGCGGGGTGCACTTGTTGCTGGTTCTCAGAGCAGCTGGGTACGGAACACCCAGGGGACTCATCATTTTGTGATGTGAGCGAGCAGTTCACACAGCTTTCTAGTTGTGGCTCAGAGCCGCAGCTTTGGCCGGGATGGTGTCCTTGAGGTGTGGGTGGGAAAGGGAGTGGTGGGTACAGGTGCAGCACCCTAGGTGACCCTGTTACAGTTCTGCATGGCCGTGGTCACGTATCATGTGTGGCCTGGCCGTGGGCATGCGTGGCCTGGCCACAATCTTTTTTTTTTTTTAATATTTTTAATTTTAATTACTCATTTACTTATTTTATTTTGACCAGAGAGTCACAGAGAGAGAGAGAAAAAGTGAAAAAGCAAGCCATCAGGGCCGGGACTCGAACCATGGTTGGCCATATGGGAATGTCCAGCGCCTTAACCACCACACCACCTGCTGGTCCCCTGGCCACAGTCTTGTATCCTGTGCGGCCTGGCTACGGGCATGCGTGGCCTGGCCACAGTCTTGTATCATGTGCAGCCTGGCTGCGGCCATGTGTGGCCTGGCTGCCGTCCTGTATCGCCATGTATGGGTCCTCTGGAGGACTAGTTGTAGGGACCCCCCGCATTTCCTAAGCCCGCCCCTTCTGACTGCCTCCAGCTTCCTTCCAGCTCTGTGTGTCTCTCTCACAGAGAGCGGAGGCTTGGGGACGCCGTCCATCACGCCACAGCGAGTGTGCCAGAACTGCCCAGGCCCGCCTCATCCCAGGCCCTGGTGTGCCCCCCGGCCCACTTTGGGGCCTCGTTCTTCTCTGGTGCCGAGTGGCTAGGGAAGGCGCTCCCTTCAGAGGGGTATCTTCCACGTGCTGTTCTCGGCCTGGATTTTTTTTTTTTTTTTTTTTTTTTTTTTTTTTTTTTTTTTTGGGAGTTTTTTTTTCGTGGGCGGACAGAAAGCGAGAAATCACCCCCCAGGGGGGATGGCCACGCCACAATCCCTTCTCCTCCATTCTCCTCTCGGGATCTTGGGCACGCACGCACACACGCCCGGTGTGAGTTTTAAGCCACTGGGTCCAGTACACGAACCGCAGTTGACTACGTGGGAGTCCAGCGACATAGCCATTACGCCAACTGCTGGTTCCCTCTCAGCCCCTGTTTTTAGGCTCTTGTTCTTTTCCCTTACTCCACCTTCACTCCTAGGGTAATCATCGTACCAGCACCGTCTAAAAGAAACACAGTGCAGGTCACAAATAGACTTACACTTTGTTTTTTTGGGGAGGGAGAGATTTTTGTCTAGGGCATGTACACTCACTGGAGAGACAGAGAGAAAAAGAGAGCCAGACAGGGAGAAATCCCCCGAGGGATGGCCACACCGCAGTCCATTCTCTTCTCGGTATCTTGGGCACACACGTGCCCGGCATGTGTTTTAAGTTGCCGGGTCCAGGACTTGAACTGTGGCCGACTACACAGGAGTCCAGTGACATAACCATTCGGCATCTGCTAGTCCCATGACTCACAGTTTCATAGTAGCCACGTTAAAAATAAAGAGAAGCAGCCAGATTAGTGTTCATCATTTACGTAACCCGATGTGCGTACACGACCGATTCAGCATGTACCCAGTAGTGGTGACTGGGGTGTTCTTCATCTGCCCCGGTACTGTCTCCCAGGTCTGCTGTGTGCTCAGGCTGTGCCGTCTCAGTTCAGCCTAGCCTCCCTGCGCGCTCAGCAGCCCCTGGGCCGTGCCGTCGGAGAGCACAGGTCTGTGCAGATGTCCGTGCTTCTCGGACTTGCGTGGTGGTCACTCCGTTCCTGGGTCCGTGTGCGTGAGGCCAGAGCACGTGAGGGAATGTGCGTTGCCCGTTTCTGAGCTCCCGTTAGGCCCACGTGATGGCCTTTTGGAGGGATAGCTTGGCGAGCACTAGTTGAGAAGCACGTGGCAGGGGCAGCGTGGGCTCCCCGGTGCACACTGCTCCCGGTTAGCTGTCTGTGCGGGCCTCGTCTTGTCTTGGGGAGGGGACGCGTGAGCTCTAGTGTCCTAGGACAGGCCGTGGCTCTCTGTTTCACTCTTCCTTTGTGGCCGGCCCGCACCCATAGTGGCTAGCACTCAGTGCCCAGAGGGGACTTTGGCCAAGCGTCTCTGTCCCAGGGTGGTTCTCAGGCCCCGTATCCTCTTGTCCCACAGGGATGCACCATGCCAATAGTCGATAAGCTGAAGGAAGCCCTGAAACCTGGCCGCAAGGACTCGGCCGATGATGGAGAGCTGGGGAAGCTGCTGGCCGCCTCCGCCAGGAAGGTCCTTTTGCAGAAGATCGAGTTTGAGCCAGCCAGCAGAAGTTTCTCCTACCAGCTGGAGTCCCTAAAGAGCAAATACGTGTTGCTGAACCCCAAATCAGAGGGAGCCGGTCGCCACAGGAGTGGAGATGAGCCACAGGCCAGGAGACAGGGTACGGATGCGCGGAACGCTGGCTGAGAGGCCCTCGCTGTGCCAACCTCGCGCACGGACCAGGTGTTGAGGAATGCGTAGGGCGAGGCATGCAGGGTGAGGGCCGAGAGTCGCACGCGCTCCCGGAGGGTGGGGAGGGTGGGAAGGAAGCCAGTGTTACTTCAGCGTTCCCCGGTCCAGTTTAACAGGAGCAGATACAGGCTCGGAAGTGAGGGGCAATGGGCACGGTACCCGGGCAGAGTGCAGGCTGGCCCTCCAGTTGTGGGTTCTCTGAGCTCCACCCTCTCATCCAGAGGCTCCTTCTAGACCTGAGAGCAATGGAGGTCCGCGGGGTGGCTGGCTTTGCTCCTGAGCTTCCAGGGAACATCCAGTGAGTGAGCACCGGCTGCCCCGGTGCCCGGCTCTCGTAACCACATACCAGACACACGCTCAGGGACTTCTTCCCAGTGTCCTCGCGGGCCTACACCGTGCTTTCCTTTCCCCAGTGTCCCCGCAGGCCTACGCCACGCTCCTCCCTGGTGAACCCGCGGGCCTACGCCGTGCTCCTCCCCGGTGTCCCCGCGGGCCTACGCTGTGCTCCTCCCCAATGTCTCTGCGGGCCTACACCATGCCTTCCCCAGTGTCCCCGCGGGCCTACGCCACGCTCCTCCCCAGTGTCCCCGTGGGCCTACGCCGTGCTGCTTCCCAGTGTCCCTGTGGACTTACGCTGTGCTTTCCCCGGTGTCCCTGTGGACTTACGCTGTGCTGCTTTTCCCTTTTGTCCCTTTTTTTTTCAGGCAGCGAGCATGCGTATGAAAGCTGCGGCGATGGGGTCCCGGCCCCCCAGAAAGTGCTCTTCCCCACAGAGCGACTGTCTTTGAGGTGGGAGCGAGTGTTCCGCGTGGGCGCCGGACTGCACAATCTGGGAAACACCTGCTTTTTGAATTCCACGGTGCAATGCTTGACCTACACGCCACCACTGGCCAACTACCTGCTCTCTAAGGAGCACGCTCGGAGCTGTGAGTGCGGGTCCGCAGTGAGTGTGTGCAGGGGTGGGCTTGCTGTGAGTCCTCTGTGAGTGTGAGTGTGCAGGAGTGGCGCGTTGTGAGTTCTCAGTGAGCATGGGTGTGCAGGGGTGGACTGGATGTGAGTCCTAGTGAGTGTGGGTGTGTAGCTGCCTCCAAAGAGGAAAGGCTTAATGCTATAAAGTCATCGGCCCCCCGGGTTAAGGTGTAGGTTAGGTAGCTCCCGTGGGTCGCATAACTGACATAGAGAAGCAGGAGTCGCCACACACCCTGAAGGAGAGGGGCGGGAGAAGCCAGTGTCTGCCAGAGATGGTCCATGGAGTTCCCAAGACGCCGGTGCAGCTTTGGGTCAGGGAGAGAAGCACTGAGCAGTGGGGCAGAGCAGAGGGCCAGAACCAGCCACGCGTATTTGGAAACCTGTGACGTCCCTTTCCTCCCGTTTGCTAAAGGGCAGGTGTGCTTGTGGAAGAGAGGGAGGAAGTGAGAAAGCACCCCTGTGGGGCAGTCATGCTGCATTCCGTCCTCACCTCGGGATTTTATGCGCACGTGCACACGCCCAGCGGGTTTTTCAGGCCACTGGGTGCAGGAATCAAACCACCCGATTGGTCACGTGAGAACCAATCACTTGAACCACCATGTGGGAAAATGAAAACACACACACAGATATATGCATGTGCACCCGCACATACCCCTGGACTGTAGTACAGGTCCCCCAAGTTGAAGTAGTAATGTCCCTGAGGTTATAGATTTGATTTTCAAGGGATGTTCCCCAACTTACATGAAAAAAATGTTTGTCTGCATGCCGTTGTCTGTAACTTGCATATTGCCAGGGTTCGGAATCCGATGTCAGGTGTCTTTGGCTTAGACCGTTAGCTTATTTAAGAGCGATGCCTTGTAGGCTGGAAGTCAGCAGCATTTTACCGAATGATTAGAGAATTCATTTCCACACAACTTGTAAGCTTTGTAAAAAGAAGTTCTTCGTTTAATGTTTGTTCAAGTTTGTTTTCTTTTCTTTCTTTTTTTTATTTTTTTTGGAGAGGTTTTGCTATAGGGCACATTCACTCGCCAGAAAAAGAGACAGAGAGACAGAAAGCAAGAAATCGCCCCCTCCTGGGGGATGGCCACGCCCCAGTCCCTTCTCCATTCTCCTCTCGGGATCTTGGGCATGCACGCACACGCGCCTGGCATGAGTTTAAGCCACCGGATCTGGGACTCGAACCGCAGTAGACTACATGGGATTCCAGCGACACAGCCATTACACCAACTGCTGGCTCCAATGTGTATTCATGTACTCATTTTTAACCTAACTCTGGGATTCCCCGACCATCATTATCAGTTAAAAAATGAAAGTTACGAATGATGATTTGTTATGGTTACATAAGTCAGACAGAAGATGCAAAATACTAGGTTGTTGGAAAAGTCATGACATAGTTTTGCAAAGAAAAACAGAACATCATGACTTTTCCGACAACCTAATAAAATGCAAAATAGAAAGCTCCCTTTTATGGAAAAGTCATTACTTTTTTTTTTTTCTTAAGAATTATTTTAACTTTATTATTATTGTTATTATATTTCATTTTGACCAGAGAGAAAGGGAAAGTGAGAAAAGAAGCCACCAGGTCCAGGATTCAAACCATGGTCGGCCATGTGGGAGTCCAGTGCCCTTAACCACCATAACACCTGCTGGCCTCACACATGAACAGTTTTTGAGTATCCATCCAAGAGAAAGTGTTTGTATGAATGCCAGCACTTGAATGCGTATTTGGTAAGCAGTCTGCATGCTGTTCCGTTACTGATCTCGAGAAAGGTCTGCACGTCTATCTAGTTGCAAGTGGTGGGTGAGGGCCAAGGTTTGCATTATAACACGGATCTCTTTGAGACAGTAATGCACTCTGTGCTAACAGCAGAATTGGAGGTGTGCTTGCCCTGGGGTCCAGTGGCTTATCTTCCAGGTGTTTCTTAGTGAACTCACCCACTTGCACAGAAGACAGGATAGGCTCGCTCACTGCCGCTGCAATGGAAGAATGGAAGAGCCCAGTGGGTGGGCAGAGGAGGTCTCTAAACAGACAGCAGCCCATCGTGTAGCTAGTACCCGCCCGTGAGCATGGAGGAGCCGGGGCTACTTAGGGGCGCGTGGGTTTTTAAGAAGCAAGTTGCAGGACCAGCCAGTGGCATGGTGCTTAAGGTGGCTCTATCCCACAGGGCCAACTTCTTGGTTCAAGTCCCAGACCTGGCAGCTTGAAAATCATGCCGAGAGCATATGTGTGTCCCCAAAGTCCCGAGAGAAGGGATTATAGCGTGGCTGTCCCCCCAGGGGAATGATTTCTCTCTCTCGGTCTTTTTCTCTGGCAAGTATGTGTACTGCATGGCAAAATGAAGGGGGGAAACCAAGTTGCTGAGTGATACACACCGATCTAGTATAACTATTTGAAGCTCGTAAATGTCAGCTGCAGTGCCCTGTATCTATGGATACACAGCTGGGTGTTGGGTCTGTAAGTGCGTGGAGGGAAAAGTAATGGCCTAGTTACAGGATGGTCACCTTGGAAGAAGGACGTGGAGAATGGGATTGAAAGGGGTTGAGGAGGAGTTGAGCCATCACACCAGTGTCTTACCTGAAAAACACCTAAGACTGGGCAGAGCTGGGCAGTGTTACATTCTTTGTGCGTCTCTTTCATCTTAAAATGTGTTACAGTTTTAAAGACCAAAATGCGCCCGATGGGGAGCGAGTTGCTGTGTAAGTAGCCGGGTGGCAGACTGGGCTGGCCGCCCTTGTGTGTGCATAGCGCTGGTGCCTGGTCACCGGGCACGGGGCTGCCTGCGCCGCTGGTGCGTGGCCGTGAGAGGTGCATAGCCCGCAGAGCTAGGAAGACACCGTCTGGAGCTCAGAAAATGTCGTCAGCCCTAGTATATAGCAACAGTGTGATTCCTGCGTGGTGCAGGGGTCCCTGCCCTGAGCAACCATCAAGGGCTGTCTGGAAGCCCGCAAGCAGTTTCTCCTGCTGACCATGCAGTTCAGCTCAGAAATCAGAAATTAGGACGTTTTTTCTGCCCTTAGAAAATCGGACTTGCTCTTTTTTTTTTTTGGAGAGGTTTTTGCTATAGGGCGTATGCACCCGCCAGAAAGAGAGAATGAGAGAGACAGAAAGCGAGAAATCACTCGCCAGGGGGAGGGTCACGTCACAGTCCCTTCTCCTCCATTCTCCTCTCAGGATCTTGGGCATGCAAGCACACACGCCTAGTGTGAGTTTAAGCCACCGGGTTCGGGTCTTGAACTGCTGTCGACTGCATGAGAGTCCAGCGGCATAGCCATTACACCAACTGCTGGTCCCTAGACTTGCTCTTTTTAATAAGGAAATCATACGAATGTGATATAAGAAGGGCACTGCTGGGTCAACAGCGTTAGTAACCCTGCGGGAATAGGGTGACCCTGCTGAAGGCACAGCTGTGGGTGATCTGGCCCCCAGTGCAGTCAGTGTCCTTGGAATCAGCCGAGTCCCTCCAGGGTCTGGACTCTGGCCCAGCTGTTCTTCCACAGATTGATTTGCCCCATCCGTGTTTTTTTGTTCTGTCAGGGTGGGGGTGTCATAAAAAGTTCTTCAGAGCACTGGGCCTGTAGCTAGTTTGTTAATGGAACTGGATCCCACATGGCTGAATGCGGTTCAAATCCTGGCCCCTGAGGCTTGATAAAACATGCAGGACGTACATGCACGTGTGCCCCCAGTCCTGACAGGGTGGAGGCGTGACCACACCCCTTGGAGGGTGCATCCTCTGGCAGTTAAACGACATCTCTCGGAAGCCTTGTCCTGAAGTCCCTCCTCTGCACTGCAGGTCACCAGGGGAGCTTCTGCATGCTGTGTGTCATGCAGAACCACATCACCCAGGCCTTCGCCAACAGCGGCAACGCCATCAAGCCGGTCTCGTTCATCCGAGACCTGAAAAGTAAGGACCGGGCCGTGCTGAGGGGCCGTGCTGAGGGGCCGTGAAGCCAGCTCAGTGGTGCTGGGAGTGAGCGGGAGAGGGCGCTGGCAGTGTCATCCTGGGAACCCGCATGCTGAATGCCCCGCGGGGAGCGGAGGGTGTAGTGCCTCAGAGACACGGGGCGGGGAGGCCTTTCTAGTACCCCTGCTTGGAAGAGCAGGTCGGTTGGGCGAGGCAGAGGGGTTTGCTGTGCGTCCCAGGCGGCAGGGGAGCACGAATGCGGGCCAGAGTGGTAGGACAGAAGGAGCAGGCCAGGGCTTTCTCAGCCCCAGGGACTGGTTGCCATTTCCACGGCAGGAAGGCGAGGTCCCTTGCTGGCTTTTGAAGCCTGTGTCATTGCAGTGCTTGGACAGTCACCGTCCATCCGTGTTCCAGTTGGCTCTTGGGAAAAAGTCATTGGTCAATTTTCCGTTTTCCCTGGCATTTGCTTTTTCTGGTCACTGTCAAGGTTTTGAGCCCTGCCGCTGGGAACCCTGATGCAAACCCTGATGGGAATCCCGGGTACAGAGAACCTACCACATGACGAGCTCTGGGACCCCTTTCCTCTCCGGAACCCATAGTCCCCCGGTGCCCAGGAACCGTTAGCTGGGGGCTGTGGGAGGAAGGCCCGGGTTCTCCCACCTCTTTCTTTTCTCTCTAGAAATCGCCCGGCATTTCCGTTTTGGGAGCCAAGAGGACGCGCACGAGTTTCTGCGGTACACCATTGACGCCATGCAGAAGGCCTGTCTGAATGGCTGTGCCAAGTACGTGCCCCAGATGCCCTCCACACACACGCACTGTCCTCGCTGGGCACGGCAGAGTATGCGTCTAGGTACTCGAGCTGCCAAAGCCCCAGTCAGGGTTGCCCTTGCCCCGGAAAAGGGCTCTGGCGTCCTCCAGGAGACTGGGAACCTTCTCGGTGCAAGGGCAGGCGGGATCAGGCCTTGGTGCCCCGTCTCAGCAGCTCAGTGGAGGGAAGCGTCCAGGGCTCTCATAGGATGCTCAGCTGCTGCTGAGGACGTTTTCAGTCTTTCTAAATCAGTGATGTTGTTGTTTTGGTACAGAGGATGGGTGGTAGGAGTGCTGAGGTCTCTGTGAGAGAACTTAAAACCGCCAGGGCAATCTGAGGTTAAGAAGTATATTGTGGGGTTTTTTTTGTTTGTTTTTTGTTTTTTTCCCATAGAGGGTTTTTGCTATAGGGCACGTGCGGTCACCAGAAAGACAGAAACAGAGAGACAGAAAGTGAGAAATCACCCCCCTGGGGGATGGCCACACTGCAATCCTTTCTCCTCCATTCTCCTCTTGGGATCTTGGGCACGCACGCACAAGCGGCAGGCATGAGGTTAAGCCACCAGGTCCGGGACTCGAACTGCGGTCGACTACGTGGGAGTCCAGTGACAGCCATTGTGCTTACTGCTGGTCCCAGGAAGTATATTGTTTTTAAGATGTTACTCTGCCTGGTTACTGCTTCCTAATTTCTAATTGGAAAGCACAGTTTGTGCATGTGACATGTGACAGACTGCTTTGTGTCACATGTTCCCTTAAGTGTGACACTCACTACCAAGAGTTGTTTTGGTGTCCTTCATTCCTGGGCTCAGGGGTTCAGATAGAAGAAAACGGGGGGGATGCCCAGTGTTCCCCGGTTACTGCCTACACTTAGGAGAGAACCGGGCCCTCTCCTCTGGAAATGCTTACCTTGAATGGTTTAGGAAACGTCTAGAATGACCCTTAGAAACAGTCATGTGTGGGGCCAGCAGGTGGCGTGGTCATTAAGGTGCTGGACTCCCATGTGACTGACTATGGTTGGAGTCCCGAACCTGGTGGCTTGTTTTCTCCCTTTCCCTTTCTCTTTCTCTGTAATCAAATTAAAATATAAATAATAATAACAAAAATAAATAATTATTTAAAAAAAGAAACATTAATTTGCATTGTAGAATGAGTGAGTAAAACGGGGAGAAACCGTATCAGTGGATGAGGTTCTTCATGAACGTTATGTGACTGCAACTCGCTATGTTAAGTAACTCGATATAAAGGATACTTCACATCGGATTCTCAGGACACATTTTCCCCACTGGAGGGTTTGGACTTAGTTCTTCCTCTCCCTGAGGGGCTCCCAGCGTGCCCTCTCGCGCGGCACCCGAGGGCTAAGGATCGCCTGGCCAGTCTGGAGCCTCCTGTGTGCGGGCGCTGTAGGAGGCACCAGCGGTCGGGGTCCGAGGACTTGTGTGTAACTGGGAAGACGGGCAGACTGTGCAGCAGCCCTGGTGGTCCCCGAGCGAGGACAGCACGCCCCGCGGGAGCACCTCCTGGCAAAACTTGGGAAAGTGGCCCTGACTGGGAGACAGCAGACAATGTGGCTGGAGGGGAGGGCGAGGCCTTGCCTGGGCAGGTGGGCGGGGCGCAGTCACCTAGAAAGCCTCAGGACAAGAATGACACTGGGCCCCAGGCCAGGCCACCCAGCCAGAGTGCTGGAGGCAGGAATTGAGGGGTGGGAAGGAGCATGGGTGCGATTTGGAACGGGAGCTGTGAGCGAGGAGCCTGGGGCGAGTGGCGGTAAGCCTTTGGCTGGCACCGGCAGGCACAGGCACACGTGTGGAAAGAGGGCAGGAACTGAGTGTCAGGTGACTGGACACAGGTGGGGGGAGCCGGAGGGGAGTGCTGATCCTTACCCCGCCCTGTCCGGGAAGTGCCTTCCTGGTCTGCAGGGAGATGTGGCAGGGAGGTAGGGGCATGGGGTGGCGAGCTTCCCACAAGGCGCACTGCTCCCTCCACTCTGGATGGAAGGGCCTTCTTGGTTTTTGGTTTGGGTCATGGTTCGGGGGCCGCGAGTGTGATCAGAGCATGGTTATGATATTTGCACTTTGTGCAACTCTGACGTGTCTCCGTGACCTCACGTGTCTTCAGTGTTTGGGGGTGCTCCCTGTGTGCTCGGGGGGCATATGAGTGGTGGTGACAGGAGATGTGGGCGATTGGTCTCTGCCTAACTGCAGAGTAAAAGTATGGTGACCCTGTGTGGGTCCCCAGATACCTCAGAGCTCCTGGTTGAGGCCCATCGGGGAGCAATGGGGGAGCCAGTGAATGTGGGGCCCTGCGGGGGGCAAGGGGTAGCAGGGAGGTGGGCTCCAGAGGGCCTAGTGCAGGAAGCTCATTGGGGGCCTGTGGTGACCTTGAAGGACACAGTCTTGAGCAGGTTAGCACTGGGGCCATGGGTGTAGCAGAAGCAGGAGCAGAGACTAGAACCGGAGTGTCTTTCCAGAACCTTCATAGTATGAATGTGTGCTGCATGCAGGAGGCACCACGCCCTCATCACAGCTCTGTGAGGCTTAGGGTTGCAGCGGGTCCTGGTTAGTGAGCAGGGCAGAGGCTTCGAGTGCAGGCTGCCCGAACCTGAGCCCATGCACACCCCTGGGGGCCTCTTGACACGGGCATGGCAGTGGGAGTTGCTCCTGCCTGGTGATGGCCAGTGGGAAGGCTGGACTTGGGTGGTGGGGCGGGTGCCAGAGTCCTGGGAAGGCCGGCCTGGAGTGACTGAGTGTTGCTTGGGCCTCTAATTGTCTGCAAAGTGGCGAGCGTGGTTTGAAGTAGCTGTCATGGGGTGGCGAGGAGATCGGAGCGCTGTAGAGGGGCCATCAGGCCATGCCCGGCCACAAGAGGTGCGTGCGGACTCGTGGGCGGTGACCCCACTGTGGCCACCGTGGTGGCAGCAGGACCAGGGTCTGTCATGTTCTCTTGACAGCTGTGGCCTTCTTTTCAGGCTGGATCGTCAAACGCAGGCCACGACCTTGGTCCATCAGATTTTTGGAGGGTACCTCAGGTCGCGTGGTAAGTGGAGACTCCTTCTTTGGCCCTTGTACCAGGATTGGGAAATGAACCCAGGGGATACGGGAATTCCTACGCAGGCGGGGCCCTCTTCTGGCTGTGTAGCCCTGGGCAGGTCCCCGAGAGCGGAGCGAGGGGTGCCTCTCTGAGACACGCACCTGCCTGGCCGCGCGCCTGACTCTTACCTGCTCCTGCAAGGAAGGCCGGGAGGAGGCTGCACGACCACAGGGTGATGTGCTGCCTCCTGAGCTCCTCCCTGTGTGCAGCCCTGCTCTCTGGCCGGAGCAGGCCCAGGAGTCTCGTGGCCGGCCTGTGGCAGGCCCGCCAGGAGCGGGAGGTGCTGGGGGCCAGCGGCCTGCGTGGCGGCAGCGGCCTGCGTGGCGGCAGCGGTGCTCTGCTCTGTTGCAGTGAAGTGCTCGGTGTGCAAGAGCGTCTCGGACACCTACGACCCCTACCTGGACATAGCCCTGGAGATCCGGGTATGGTGGGGCTCTGCTTCACGCTGGCGTGGGAGGGCAAGGCCGGGCAGGCGGCAGTGGAGGCCTAGGCCAGCTAGGTCGGGGAAGCCCGTTCTTGGACTCCCGCTGCCTATAGGAACCCGCGCTTCTGCGTGCTTTATTCTAGCCTTTTCCTGTGCGTGCTTCTCACCTAAAACGTGTGCGGTTGGGTTTTCCGTCTTGAAGCGTGACAAGTGCTAGCTCTCTGGAGGCGTGGGCACAAGGGGGGTCTATGCTGAGCTGTGGGCAGCTGTCACGCAAGCACTACATGTCGCGGGAGCACGGCGACTGCAGAGCCACTTCAAGAGCTACCTTGGTTTGTGCCCACTCAGTCACTGCAGTCTGGGCGAGGCCCCCCGCCTTCACTGGGCACCCTGAGCCTCAGCAGCGCCAGCTGCCGTCCGGGAAGCGAGGCCCATGCCGTGGTGAGCCACATGTGGCTGTCCTTGCATGCCACTGGGGAGGCTGCAGCCTGCTCCTTGCCCCTCTGTGCTAGAGGTTCTGAGTCTCAGAAGGGGCAGCTGGCCAGCCAGTTTTCATACCAGTGAAATTTGTGATTTGCTGCCTCAGCCTGAAAGGCCTTAGTTTGGCGTTTCTTGAAAGCCTTTCCCGCCGTTTATTCCGTTCCTGTTTTTGTCCTCAGCAAGCTGCTAATATCGTCCGTGCCCTGGAACTTTTCGTGAAGCCAGATGTACTGAGTGGGGAGAACGCCTACATGTGTGCCAGGTGAGTTTCCGTGTTCTCCCAGCCAGAGACCGGCCTGCCCAGAGGGACGCAAAACCACCCCCCCAGCACTGCTGCACGCACCTCCCTCCCTCAGAGGTGGCCGGTGAATGTTGCCGGGACCAGCTCGGCATGAACACGTTTTTTTGAGTGGGGAAGGCTGTGGGTTAGAAATAGACACAATAATAAAATACACAAAAGACACACAGGTATAGAAAAGCGAGGATCGGGTGGGCACAGCTTCTCTGATGGAGAAGTTGCGACTAGAACTAGCCTCAGGTTTATTTTTTTAAAGGACAGAAAATGGGAAAAATTAAGTAAAATACAAAAAAAATTTTTTTAATTAAAATACAAAGCCAATCATTTTTAATATAAATTGTCTAAAAATGTGAAATGACTGGCGCCATGCAACTTCTCTAATCTTTTTTTTTCTTGGAGAGGTTTTTGCTACAGGGCACGTGCACTCACCAGAAAAAGAGAGACAGAGAGCGAGAAATCACCCCCAGGAGGGATGGCCGCACCGCAATCTCTTCTCCATTCTCCTCTCCGGATCTTGGGCACGCACACTTGCGCCTGCGCCTAGCGTGAGTTTAAGCCACCGGGTCTGGGACGTGAACCGTGGTCGACTACATGGGAGTCCAGCGACATGGCCATTACACTATCTGCTGGTCCCAATTTCTCTAAGCTTTTTAAGAAGACAATCTAATAAACACATAGGACTTCCTTAAGTCCAATACAAAATAGTATCAGGGTATTAAATATCAACAACAACCAAAAAACAACCATTAACAACAAACAAATACTACTTTTATATATAAATACTTCTCAATAGCCCTACTAAAATCACTTACAAAAACACATTTCTGCGTGTGTCTACAGGCCATATGTCTTAATCACATATTTTCAAATTAACTGCTCTCCACAGAGCGTCCTGAAAACAAACCTGTGAGCCACACGAATGAAGAGATGGCATGGTTTTTCTGGATCCCGAGGCTCTGTGTTGTTGCCTGTGTAGCAAGCACTATTACCCAGCACCCGGGGTGGGGAGGGAAACTGAGGCACAGAGCAGTGACCTGCTGGCCCAAGGTCAGGCCAGGATGTGGCAGCACACAGGCGGTCTGCCCCAGAGGCCGTGCTGCCCCCGTCCCGCCTTGTAGGTAATCGTGTCCTGCAGCTTCTGTTTCTACCTCGTCGTGTCGGGCGTCTCCCCACGCCGGCAGACGACTCCGATCCCGTCCTCCCAGGGCGCGCAGTCCTGCAGGGTGACGCCGCCGTGCCCGGCTCATTCTAGCTGCGTTCTCCAAGGGTGCTTCCCTGCTTCTGCTTTTGGAGGTTCCCATTCTGTGCCAGGACACTGGCGTCTTCTCCCACCCTGTTTCCCTGAGTGCCTCTAGAAGTTCCTCGCGTCTGCCGACTCGCTCCCCTATGTCTGCCGCTCCTTGCCTTGCCGTGTCCATCCCCTGGTGGCTGAGTACTTGATCTTTGCTTAGGGATCTACAGCTGGTCTCTAGGCTTGTTTTCCTGCAGTAGGTTTCTTTTTTTATAGCCATGGGTTTTTGTTTTTATTTTTTTTAAGAATTCATTTTGGAACCAGCAGTTGGTGTAATAGCTATGTCACTAGACTCCCATGTAGTCGACTGCGGTTCAAGTCCTGGACCCGGTGGCTTAAACTCACACCGGGCGCGTGTGCGTGAGTGCCCAGGATCCCGAGAGGAGAATGGAGGAGAAGGGATTGTGGTGTGGCCATCCCCCCTGGGGGGTAATTTCTTGCTTTCTATCTCTCTGTCTCTCTCTGTCTTTCTGTCGAGCGCTCGCACCCTATAGCAAAAGCTTCTCAAAAAAAAAAGAATGATTTTGTTTAACTTTTCTTATTATTTTTTTTAATATTTCCAGAGAGAGTGAGGAAGCAGGCCTTTACGTCTGGGACTTGAAATATGGTCAGCCATGTGGGAGTCCAGCGCCTTTAACCACCACTCCACCTGCCGGCTCCTAAAGTCACGTTATTTAATCTTCATAGGAAGCATGAAACCCAGTTGAGAAGACTTCAGTAGTATAGAACAGTTACTGTAATTTTTAAAAGTTATTTATTTTGAGATTTTTGCTATAGGGCACATGAGCTGTTAGACAGAGATAGTGATAAATCACACCTGGGGGGATGGCCTCGCTGCAGTCCCTTCTTCTCCATTTTCCTATCGGGATGTTGGCCACGCACACACTCGTACCCAGCCTGAGTTTTAAGCCGCCAGGTCTAGGACTCAAACTGCGGCCGACCACGTGGAAGTCCAGCGATGTAATCATTATGCCGTCTGCTGGTCCCGCAGTTGCTGTTATTAACTGAGGGTGAAGACAGCTCATCTCAGAGTATAAACTAAGAATTTCTCTTCACCCCCTTCCTAGGTGCAAGAAGAAGGTTCCAGCCAGCAAGCGCTTCACCATCCACAGGACTTCCAATGTCCTAACTCTCTCCCTGAAGCGTTTTGCCAACTTCAGTGGCGGGAAGATCACCAAGGTGAGTGTGCCCATCGCCGTGTGGTCTGTCCAGAACCAGGGCTGCTTTATACAGGTGCATGTTCCTGGCCCTGCCCAGAGCTGGCGAGGGTGGGTCTCTGGAGGACAAAGCCCGGGCATCTGCACTTGTGCAAAATCCCCGAGGGACCAGCAGAGTGCAGCATGTCTGTGTTGCTGGAGTCCTGCATAGGTGACTGTGGTTCAAGTCTTGGACCCGGTGGCTTAAAACTCACCCTGGGCGTGTGTGTGTGTACATGCCCAAAGGCTCGAGAGGAGAACTGAGAAGGGGTTATGGTGTGGCCATCCATCCTGGAGGGTGATTTCTTGTTTTTTGTCCCTTTGTTTCTCTCTTTGGCTAGTGCCCATGCCCTATAGCAAAAATCTCTCTCTTAAAAAAAAAAAAGCAGATACTATATATCAATGAATCAATCAATCCCTGAAGGATCGTGTGCATGGTCAGGGTGGAGAGCCACTGCCCTACTGGATCCCCTGCCCCATCTCTGTCTATACTTGGGTATTCCCAGTGTGGCAGGTCATAGTTTTCTTACGTGAGAGTGGGTGCAACCTGGGACTGTGCAGCCTGCTCGGCCATGTTCTGTTCCGGGTCTAGCCCCCCGGGGCA